TTACGCTCAATGGTGACATGGAGAGTCTAAGGGGAGAAAAAGACTAAGATCTGAATCTCTTCCATAGGGATGACCTTGGTGATGAAAAAGAGAGACCACAACATTTTGGAATCCGGTATCAGAGGAGGTAGAGAGAAGAGACAACATGTTGAGGATAAGGATTTCGACATCAAAGTGAATCTACTTGAGTTCAATGGAGGTATGAATCCAGAGGATGCAATTAATTAAGAGAATGTTTGAGTATAAGGAAGTGATTGAAGATAAACAGGTGAAACTAGCGGCAATAAAGATGAAAAAAGAGTGATTCCCTATAGTGGAAAAACTTGCAAAGGCAGAGAAAGAGAGAAGATAATGACAATATTACTAGATAGGAAAAGATGAAGAAGATGACATGGAGAAAATACATACCATTTCATTACCACCAATATATATTTTTGAGACTCCATTGTCTACAGCTGAGAGACCTATAAGTGGAGAAGTTCAAGGTGCAGTTTAACAAGTCGATGAAATGTGAGTTGATCGAGCAAGAGGAGCATTCTATAGCCCGGTATATGGGGTTTGAAGCCCTTTATCAGCAATGTTGTGCAGCTACAGCCATAAAAGTGGAGACAACAGAAACAGAATTGGCAACTACCAGTAGTTGGTAACATCAACAGGAGCACACCTCAAGGAGTTGAGAAAATTGATTCGGATAAGGACAAAACCACGCTGAGTGAGAAAAAACCTGAGAAGAGTAGCATGTCTACTATAGTTCCCACCGAAAAATGCTTTAGATGTCATGGATTTAGGCACATCGCCTTCAGCTGCCTAACGAGTCGAGTTATCTCTTTTACCAAGCAGGGCTCATTGAAAGAGGTTAGCGACGAGAAGGCAGCTGAAGAATAGAGTGAGGTGTATCATCTTCCACATGATGAGGGCGAAATGCTTGTAGTTTGATGGTTTTCACAGACTAAAGATATAAGGGATTTGTAGCGGCTTCACCACAACATATTCTACACTTGTTGCACTGAAATGAAAGGTATGTAGTCTCATTATTGATGAAGAGAATAACATGAATGTTACGTCTACGCAGATGGTAAGGAGATTGGGCCACATGACTCAAAGACATTACTGGTCATATTCTTTGAACTAGCTGAAGAAGAAGAATATGGTCAATATTGACCGAAGGTGTCTGGTAAAGTTTTTTTATTGGAAGTCAGCTTCAGGATCGAATGTTGAGCACGTGGTCATAATGGATGTTTACCACCTTTTGTTGGGGTCGTGGCTATTTAACCATAAGACTCAACACAACGAATTCAAAAAAGCCCACTCCTTCACCAAGAAGAGGAAGTGCGTCATCCTTCTCCCTTCTACGGAGCTCAGGATCACAGGTGCCCTTGCCAGTAGAGCAACATCAGTGTAACTAGTTTTGGTGACGACAAATGATGATAGGACGGAGATGTCGATTCTAGACATGACACAGTCACGATAGGAAGCTTTTCAAAACACCACGATCGATACCTTACCGCCATGGTCACCACCATTTGGGAAGGTTCAAGTTACCCTTACTTTGGATCAAGTTGAGCTAACATTAGATTATTTTAAGAGGATTCAACAGTAAAAGCACAACACACAGACCCAGTTTAATGCAGTAGTGGAGCCCAAGAATGTTGGATCGATATGATTGTATGCTCGCAAGAGGAGACGGGTGTTTTGAAAGAATAAAGTCGATCGTGAGATCGAGGAGCTATTAAGGCCAACAGTCAAAGATTTTTCAGTCCCGGGAGATTCCAGCAACTTTGTCACCGTCATGCAGACAAAAGCTTCGACGAATAAGTTCGAAGCTCCCCCAACCTCGAAAGATTGATGCGAGGGCTAGGGGCTGAGTCATCCAAGAGCTGAACCGAGGAAAGGCTTGTTGAACCCTGTTCAGCAAGGAGGGCATAGATGGTCTTTATGCGCTGGCTAGGGTTGCCGCCCAAGGGGAGGGATCTTTCTCTCATATTTATCTACTATATATATATACGGCCTCTCTACTCCTCTTTCAAGGACTGATTTTAATCTAGGTAAGTCTTGCAATGTTCCACAATCTTTCCACAAGACTCTTGAAGGTGGTGGTGATCACAGCTTCATTAAAAAACTTCAAAAAAAAAGGAAGTATGCTCTTATTCTCACAGAGGATGAAACCAGTACTCTCGCATCCTCTTGGTGTTTTGCTCTAGTTGGGAAATTTCTTTATGGTAACCCAAAATTGGAGATCATTCGGAAAAAGTTTGAGGCTATGAAGCTATTGGGTAATTGGAATATTGATTTACTTGGTGGTTGGCACATACTGATTCAGTTGTCTCATGATGTTAATTATACCCGCATCTTTTCTCGGAAAGTTATCAAAATCGACAATCGTAATATGAAGGTTGATTTTGATCCAAAAGCGGAGTCCCCTATCGTTCTTGTTTGGATAAAATTTTCGGAGTTAAAATTACATATGTTCAACTTGAAAATTCTCTACTCCTTAACAACTGCTTACGGTAAGTCTATCAAGGTTGATAGTCCTACGTTTGTTGTCACCAGACTCTCTGTGACTTGTGTGTTAGTTGAGAGGGATATCACTCAACCAGCTCCGGATGAGGTATGGATTGGAACCACCCACAACGGTTTTGGCAAAAACTTGAAATTGAACCACACCCTCCTTATTGCTCTCATTGCAGTATGTTTGGTCACAGTTCTACTATTTGGTATCATTTGCATCCTCATCTAAGATTGAAAATCGCTAAAGATTAGTCACCTATCATCCCTGTTGAGAAGATGCAACCCGGTCCTCTTTCCAACACCGCAGATCCAGTCGTGTTTATACCACTCATTATTATTAAAGAGGACTCACCTACATGCCAAGACACACGCGAGTACTCTTTTGATTCAATACAAAATCAGCTTGTACAACATGTATTTGCTTCTAATGTTCAATAACCTACACATGTCCGACACACTTTAGATCAATCTACTGATCAGGTGAGTCAATCTTCAGATGAAGAATGACAGATCTATTCCAGGAGAAAGAAGAAAAATGGAGGCCAACTCGAGCTTGGAAACTTATTTTGTTTCCTCCTGACAATGACACTCATCTTATCAATTTATTAGCTGGCTCCTTCCCTAGAACTAGAGAGAGATAATGCCAAATTGGGTCGCTCTTTAGCCACCTGATACTATGTACTTCGACAATTTTAGACTTTTTCTTTAAGTCTCTGATGTACTTTACTGCATTTTCTAGTTTTGGAACCATTTATGGCTATTGTGTGGGCAGGGTGTCATGTTTAAGTCCTCTCACACATTGTATTTGTATATTTTTTTCTATTTAATATATTAGCCTTTGGGCTTTCTAATATGTGTGTGTGTGTGTGTTATTTTTTATTTTAGGGTTTTCTTTGATATTTATTTTTTGGACAGCCTCGGACATCAAGAAAGTGCTTCGGCTATAGCTCGTCCCAATGTGGTTTGTATCTTTCCTTTTATTGCTTGTTGTTGCCCTCCCCTACTGGTTGCCATCCCCTGGCCTCCTCCTTGTTGTTGCACACCTTTCCTCTCCCATATTCTGCTAACTGTTGCAACTCCCCTCCCCATAACAGCCTTCCTCATAGTTGTCAATCTCTTCCCTACCCTCCACAACTACAGCCTGCCAACCTACCATACAGCAACCTCTATTGAAGCTATATTGCACCTCCCCCTCCCCTTCCTAC